ATCATTCAAGTGAATTTAAACCCAGGTCCTCTTCTCTTTTATACAGAAAAATATATTGCTCTTTGTTTGCTTTGCGCTTCTTTTCTTTTGAAGTCTTTCTGCAGTATTTTTTTTTATGTTCACATTGTACTTACCTGGTAGTAGCCACAAGATATTATATTTATCCATATTACATATATTTCTGCAATTGCTCTTCTTTTTGAGGACACAAAATCCCCCGAAGCAGCAAGATTCAGCAAGGTGTATATACTGCATAGGAAGTCATTTAGATATCTCTATATACTTACAAAAATAACCCAACTCTTACCCAGAGATACTAAAGCAATTATTCTACAAACTTAACAAAAATATGTCTGAAAGTATTACTGTCACTAAGTTCCAATTATACCTAACTTCTAATACAAGGCTGGATGTTTATATGTTACAACTATTTTTCTGCCAGTTCTTCCTATTAGTAGGAGGACATTATGCTCCTTTGCCAAACATGTTCCTATTAACGTATTTTCATTTAAAAATTTAATCCATAAAGCCTTGACATAATACCAGAAATCCTTCAACAATAATTAATTGAATTCAGCAGTAAACAGATCACTGCTGTGATTTTTTATTATCCTATCTCCCTATCACTGTAGTTTCCCAAAGATTCTGTCAGTAAGTGTTGAAAAATGGAAATAATTGAAGAGGCTTTCAAAATGTTTCTTATTATGAAGGAAGGACTTGTAATACCAAAGCAACTTAGCATGATGCTGGCATTAGACTGTTGGAATGTAACTTTCTGACATATAAGAAGCTCTCCAGAAACTTAAACATTCATAAGTTTATATCTAAACTACACATTACGACTGGGTCTATAACTTGTCATTCTTTCAGTCATGTTTTGTTGAGCAAGCTGTAGTAGTCTGATTCTCTCACTGCAGTAAGCCTTAAATCAACATGATAAAGCCTATGATTGGGTTCACACAGTGTAAATAAAACCAAATAAATCTTATTATAAATTAGCAGGATGTGTTAATCCAGAATTCCTTGATGATTCCTTAATGCTTAAATAATATTAACGAAATGACAAACACCTTCAATTTCACAGGAAATCATTCTGTCAAACCTAACATTTCAACAATGCCAATTCTGAATTATCTGAGTGTATTACATGAATAAATATATTTTTGATACATTGGTTTATTACCCATACTTAGACATTCCAAGGCCCGATTCGCACATCACAGTATGTCATTATTTGCTTAGGAACAGTTTGTTTGATACACCCAAATTGGTGGAATGCACATGATCTTAATACCACCAGATCATAAAGTAGGCTACAATAGTACAGAATACCTCTTCATTTACAGTGCCAGTGAAGGTATTTTTCCATACAGCTTGCCTGTCCAAACCTAGTCTATGCTAATTGTGGACTGTGACATTAAAAATTTGGGGGGGTTCAAAGGCCATTAGCCTGAAAATTTTATCTTATGGCTTGATGTGAAAATTGTATGATCTAGAGACAAATAATGAAATTCTCAGAATAATTCAGGAATGTAAACATACTGAAGAGAAATGCCAAAGCTTTTCCATATCTCAGGAACAATCAACATGGAAAATAATTGTATGATTTCAGAACAAGTTTGGAAAACTATGGGAAATTGTTTATTACCTGCTCATTTTTTTTTTGTCTAAGCCGGCATTCCACAGTACAGTATGGCAAAGATCAACACGTGACATTCAGGAATATGAACTATAGTTACACACAACATTGAACAATTCTAGAAACTTTACTATTCAATAGATCCTCAACTTCAAGTGCTATATGTAAGCCATAGCAATACTTAAAAATGCCGTACATATTATGAGTATGTATCTTTCCTTATCCTGGAAATCTATCTGTATTACTGTTAAACATGCTTTAAAAACATTATATAGACAGATCATAGAAGAAGAGATTTTAGAAAGTAATAAAATGCTATTGCTTTAGTTTCTAATGCTGTCTAAAATATAGATGTGCATTTTATTCCTAGGAAATCAAACGTTATTGCAATTTGCTTGTTCTGGAAGATCTATTATTTCATTACTTTTACTGCAAAGGGAAAGTGCTTGAAGTCTATGCTCTGCTTCACTTCTACCATTTGAACTCTATGTAAATGCTTCAGAATGATTAAGTTATTATAATTTAGTTTCACTGTGCTCTTTAGTTCAACAAAGGCAGTATTCAGGATGTGATAAGACCAGGACTGAGAGTTGAGTGATCTTAGCTGCAAGTGGCCACTACACAGCAGGAAACACCAGCTACTGGTGGTCATGGTTTGCCTTTGATCCCACCTAGTGGCCATCTGGATTTTTGCAGCTCGGGTCCGACAATTTTACTTCCATTATTGTTTGAGTTCTGAGGACACACCAAAACACAAACTAGACAGGCATGTCTTTAGTTCTTGAATCAAAGAAAAGCAAGTTTCCATAATTTGCACTGACCTGATGGCCAGGCTCTAAACTGCCTTGCCTTGTCTTTTTTTACGGTGGTACAATTTAATGGCAGTAATTCATGGATTCTCCTGACTTAAACTCCCCTCTTCTCCAGCACCACCAGCCAACAGGAAACATGACTCGTTGCCATAATTTGGGATGGATGGGCTTGGATGGGCAGGTGCCAGGAACAGTGACCCAATTTGATCTGCCAAACCTGTACCAAAGCATCACCAGCCTGTGTTCTGACATTAGTTTTAGTAATAAAAGTTGACTTCCATCATGTAGAAACTAAATTCTAAATGACCTCGAGTAACATTGCATGGGTAACTATTAACCTTCCATCTGATGAAGGGAAAAGGCAATGCTTTATTGGCCGGTCTGACAGAATGAGAAATGAAAAATATCACTGGATTTTAAAACTCTTTCTCAGATCTGTGTTGTTAAACTGACAGAATGCCACCAGCATTGTAAGCAAACTCAAATCAGTTGGGTCAGTGGAGGACTCTGCGATGCTCACGTTTACACCTGAACCTGACACCAGCTACCATGTTGTGTAAAGCATTGCCAAACTCAGAGTGATCAAGTCCAAAGCATAATTTCCCATTTAATAGGTCGTGTGAATACAGGAAAGCTGAAACATACTGAAATTGGAATTAAAATACATACATTACATTTGTCTGACTGCCTGCAGCCTTGAATGCATCATTCCATTATTTCATTCACTGAGTCCTGTTAATCAGGCTGTAAATCACAACTACAAGTAGTCCTTGACTTACAACCACAACTGAGTCCAAAATTTCTGTTGCTAAGCAAGACAGTTGTTAAATGGGTTTTGCCCCATTTTACGACCTTTCTTGCTGCAGTTGTTAATTGACTCACTGCAATGATTAAATTAGTAACATTATTGTTAGGTGAATCTGGCTTCCCCATTGACTTTGCTTGTCAGAACGTTGCAAAAGGTGATTGCATGACCCCGGGACACTGCAACCGTCGTAAATATGAACCAACATCCAAATATGTCAAGCATCTTGGGGATGCTGTATAGCGACCATCAGTGCCGCTGTAAACTCCAAACAATCACTAAGCAAATGGTTGTAAGGCAAGGACTATCTGTATATTAAATTTACTCTCTATAGATAGTCTCACTCTTAAAACTCCCAATACTGTACTACAAGGCTACAATCCTATGGAAATGAACTTGGAAATAAGTCCTCTGATCCCAGTGAAGCATTTTTCAAAGTAATCTCATCACCCAACAGCAGTTGCAGGTGTTTACTGGAAGTGCCATTTTTACTATAATGTTTTCACACTTCTCATTTGGAAATAGCACTACAAAAAGCCTCCATAACTGTTTGCAGATGGGCTATTATATAATAATGTCTTTTATGACTTCCCTTGGCCTAACATGAAAACTGAAATGATAAAAAGAAAACAATGTTACCACTCTAACAACAGAGCATTTGTTTGTGTGTGTGGGTATGCCATAAGGGCTTCACAGAACATGTCTATGCAAAACATCTAATTCTTTTATACCATGAGGACGAGTTCATGTTCTGATTCAAATGACACTATAAAACACCCAGACAATTCTTCTTTGGGATTACTGCAGATAAAGTAGTACTAGAGAGGCTGCAGATAAGGTAGTTCTGGAGAGGCTGAGGAGCAGATGCTGCAGACTGTTGCATAGGACAATAAGATCAAAGAAGAAAGAAATGCTAAAGGCAGCCACTCAGTTGCAGCATCCTAAAATGTTCCTTTTTGTTGCACTCAGGACAGTGGTGGTTTCCCATTTACAACGGCTGTACCCAGTGCAGGGTCATATGATCACAATATGATCACAAAGTCAGTGAGGGAAGCTGAATTTGTTTAATGACCGGAGTGATTTGCTTAACTATTACACTGCTTAGCAATGGAAATTTTGGTGACAATTATGGCTGTAAGTCAAGATCTTATTTCTATTTGTAATAACAACTGAATTAATTTATCAAGAATAGTTCAGTCATATGAATTCTTTTTTATCTTTGTCACGTACCATTGGCCTTCTGAGGTAGACCAGACATGGCTACATTAAAAGAATCTTGCAAGATCAAAAGTACAAATCTCCCACAGTCCCTTTTTATAAGCTAGGGAGATTCCTTTCTGAGTCTTTTTCTCTGTCCATTATGCATCTAGGAGCATCTCTTCCCTCCCATACACACACACAAACATACACACAGGGATCTCCTAAAGTCATTCTCACATTGCAGGTACTGTACGATACATGATGCTGCAAATGTGGGTCCAGCTAAGATATTTACTGGCTGCGGAAGATTAAGAAATTGAACTACATTCAAGAACACAGCCTTTCAACTTGAGGACAATCATGCCATTTGCAAGACAAGTCTCTATTCGACAAAGAAACTAAAATGAAAGAAATAGATCTTGTTTGAAAAATAATAACAACTATGACAATAATATCTACTGCTGTTTACTGTTTATATATTCAAGTGTGCATGCGTATGTACAGTATATCCGTATTTAGATAACTTTTCAGAAATCCTGCTTACCTTGAAAACTGCTGTTGCAGTCCACACATTTGAACCCTATGGCGCTCAGACTCCAGTGCCATTTCTTGTAGTCTTTTTTCACTTTCAAATCTCAAATGTCGCTCTTCCTCCAACTCATGTACCAGCTTCTCGCGCTAAAAAAAAAGCAAGTGACAAAATTAAGCAGAGTTCAAATGTGTGAAGGTTAAGACTTCACACTTTAAGCTGCTACTGCTTATGAAAGACAATCATGTAGAAAAGTGAGTGAAGATTTTACCCTGCATCAGTCCCCTTCTACCAAGAGCCTATCAGATGGTTAGAATTTCCTTGCTTAACGTCTGCCCTGCTTAGTGAGATCATTCAAATTTACAACAATCCTGAAAACATAACTTTGCCACTAATCCTTGCACTTGTGACTGTTCATCATCCCTGTGGCTATATAAAAAAGATTTGGGTATTTGTGAACAGAGAGCATTTACAGCCATTAAATATCCCATGATTGTCATTTAACAGCTTCATAGCCAACTTTCGACAAGCAGAATCCATGAAGAAGTCGGCAATAAAACTGCAAGTCACAGTTATGCTTAATGAGTACAGGTGATTTGCTTAATGATCATAGCAGAAGTGAGTTCCTTAGTCTATTGCAGTAACATGTCTTGCTTAATGACCATATTACTTAGCAACAGACTTTCCCATTCCCAATTCTGGTGGTTAAGTGAGAATTACTAGTAATTTCCTAGCCATCAAAGCTACTGGTCCTGTAAATTGCAAATTTGCAAAAAGTTGGGTAGCATACAAGTTTAATAAATTATTATTGCTATTACCGGTTTTTTTGACTTGCAGAGCTACAATATTTTCATTTAAATGTTTTTAACTATAATAACAAAATACAGAATAAAAACAAAGTACAGCCTGATACCAACAATTTAAAAAGATTAAAAAGAAATAATAAGAGCAGCTGATTTTTAAAGGAAGGGAAAAATTTGAATAATTATGTTTATTTTTTAATTTCTGGCAGAAAACCCAATAGTTGTTAAGTGTACTTCAGAAAGTAAGAACTACTTCAGAGAATGCATCCTGCCTTACTACAACTGAAGTATTTTTTAAAAAAACAAGTTTTATTAATTTTCCAATTTTACAAACTCCACGTGTTAAGGAAGCAACATGGTGATTGGGTAATCCATAATCCAATAACAAGCTCTTTCATACATATGTCAGGTTACAACATCAAAAATTTCCTCTCTATTTCCCTTGGTTATTGTATCATATTCACATTAATACATTGCTAGTTATGACTCAGTCAGTTAAGACATTTATCAATATATTTTAACTTATACGCCTTCATGTCCTGTTTTTAAATTTTACCTAATTTCAGTTACAGTATTCCAGTTGGCTTAATATCCATAGTATTTAGATTTCGGGTAGCCCAAAGTTCCCTTAGTTTATTACCAAATAATTGTCATATCTAAAATACACTTATTATTTACTCAGATAAATTCTTACTTTATTTCACAAACATACTCTATTTCTCATCCTAATACCTCATCACTTACTAATAAAATAACCTTTATCATCTCAATCCAACTTCTATATTATAATCCAAAACTATTATTCTAGCAACTATTTTTTATTTCCCTTATAGATCTAAATACTAAATACTAAATCAATTAGTGTCTTTTAAAATCTCCTTAGCCTATTAAATGAGATTTTAAGCTCTTCCATTATAGGTTACATAAAGCAATCCCATTTTTAAGTCTAACTCTAGCTTTCTTTTTGTGCCAAGCAGGCTTCCATAGCAGTGCCTTTAAATCCTCAAGTGGATCTCCATTCTTACACATGTCGTTTGAATCAAGGGAGACCATCCAATTATCAATTTTCCAAGGGAGCTGGCCCCTTCATAATCATTAGATTGTTGGCCTAATCATTCAAGTCTCCATATTTGGCTTAGTATATTGGTCGTCAGTTCAGTCTGGTCTTCTTCTTCCGGTTTCAGATGGTTTAAGTAAAAAGTCATGTTCAACTGAAGTATTATAGTGCTATTGGAGACAGCAGGAAATCCTTTCCTGAATTTACAGTTCGTAATAGACGGGTCCTGAGCATCTAAAAACCAAATACAGCAGAAAGAGAAAATATGGCAGCATACATAGTCAGCTATTTCTGCTTTGTGACCAATTCAACAAATTTAATTTTTTATGGAGAACAGCCAACTCTGTATGAAATTCAAAGCTTTATATATACACTAATGGTTAAGTAGGGGTAATTAGAAATAGAAAGTTCAAAGAAAGATGCAATGAAAAAAGCACAGACAGTGATAATTACCTTATTATCTCTGCCTAATCATAAAGCAGCTGTTGAATGACAACTGAGATATTTCCAAACCGCTGAGCTGATAAACATACATATGACAAAACTATTTATCTAAAATATAGAGGACAGAGAGAACTCTCTTTGTAATAAAAATTATCACTAAACTGTCATAGTTCATTTTCTAAATTTTATTTCCTTCTAGTATCATTCTTTACAATCCTACTGATAACCATTAAGTGCACATATTCCTGTATCATAATCAATGGTGAAGTGGTTACTGTGCTGGACCACAAACCAGGAGATCATGAGTTCTAGTCCCATCTTAGTCATGAAAGCTGATTAGGTGACTTTAGGTCAGTCACTCTTTCTCAGTCCAGCATACCTCACAGAGTTGTTGCTACAGAAAAAAAAATAGGATATAATATTATGTATGTGTCCTTGAGTGGTACAAAATAAAAGTGGGATATCACTTTTAATAATAATATGCAACTGATTAAGTTGCCAGGAATAAACTCTTTTTCATTTAAATTTATTAAAGGTATTTCACCCACCTACCCTATTAAAGTGTGGGAGGTTTACAAAATCCATAAATAATAAAACACAATTAAATGCATATCATCCCATATAAACAGGAAGCCTTTACTAAAATAACAGAAATGATAAAATTATACAGATATGGCAAAGACATATCAGGCCCAATACCCAGAATGGCATGTGATGATTCTTCCAACCAGATGTCTTTATTCTTCTACACCTATAGACAGAATCTTGCCAGACTAAGCACTCTATTCTCTGCATCCTTCATATATTCTGAGAACTCTTTAGGGAGGGGTTGTCTTCACTCTCTTTCTTTCACACAAACTATCTGGACTAGGATGCTTCTTATTCTTCTGGAATGCACACCCTCTCTCCTGGGAATCCAGCTAACTACATTATGTCACATCCAACAATAAACTCATTAACTCCAGACGTAGAAACAGAGCCCTGTTTCAGAGCTTTCTGGAACTCCAGATGGAATGAAATGTGCCAATGACTCTGGGAAACAATGGGAAGTGAGCTGTTTAGGAAACAATCAGACAAGAGAGACAGGAGCTTAACAATCAGAGAAAGAAACTTAGGAAGGACCCTTTCTAATGGGTTAAGCACTTAAAAGTTACGGCAGGAAGTTTGCACTTTCAGACTTGCAAAATTCTATTAATATAACCTTACAATAAAGTAGAATTAATTAATCTACTTGTGCTTCCTGTCTGGTTCACTTGAGAGGGCTGACACCAGATTAGAGAGCACCATCTATATTTCAGGGAGGGGAAGAGATTGTTCTAGAGCAGGGCTTTTCAACCTTTTCACTCATTGTACCACTTTTAGGATAAGGCAACATCCGAGTACCACCAGTCACCCAGCAAGGTGTCAAAAACTTGACCCCCCCCCAAAAAGGAAAAAAATGATAAAGTACAGGTAGTCCTCGACTTACAACAATTTGCTTAGTGACTGTTCGAAGTTACAATGGCACCGAAAGTGACTTATGACCATTTTTCACACTTATGACTGTTGCAGCATCCCCAGGGTCATGTGATTTACATTCGGATGCTTGGCAACTGATTCATACTTATGACATTCACAATGTCCCAGGGTCACGTGATCACCTTTTGCAACTTTTTGACAAGCAAGTCAATGTCCGGGGGGGTGGCCAGCTCATCACTCAGGTTGCGGGGTGCCTGTAGGGGGGAATCCGTGGGTCCCTGGTGGAGGGGGGTGGGACTGGGATGGTGCCTTCCTTCCCTCCCTCTCTCCCATTGTCCCTCCCTCCCTTCCATTGTCCCTCTCTCCCTCTCATTGTTCTTCCCTCCCTCCCTCCCTGCAAGATGGCAGCGTTTAACAGAAGTGACCTGGAGCATACCCACCTTGAGTGGGCCAACACACATGGAGATAGGGAGTCCTTCAGATAACCAGATCATGTTAAATTCATTAGTCTTTAAGGTGTCACACGGTGCTTCACTGTCTGACTGCAATTGTCTGTTTTTAACTTTAGTAGTTTCTGTTGTTGTTGACTTTTGTATATTTTAGATGATAATAATGTTAATAATTTATTAAATTTATATGGCACCCAACTACCAGCAACTCTGGGTGGTTTACAATTGTTAAAACATTTCAGAATGAAGAACCATACAAAAAAAAAAAATCCAAATAGCACAAGACAAAAAAACAACAACAATGGCCAAGAAATCAAACTCAAGAGGGGAATGGGAGGGATAGAGGGAGGGAAGATATTTACTTATACATTTCTTATTTTAAAATAAAAAGTGATAAGCTGTTAGAGGAGAGCAGCAATTTTGAGATTAATCTATCAAATCACTTTGCTCTATTTAAGACTTGGAAGAGATGAACAATACAGACCAAAATGAACAAATAGTCAAAAACATCCTTGAATCTGCTACATCTATAGCATCACCAGAAAAACACTTTGTACAGTCAAAAATCTCTAATGAAACTATTGATTTAATGAAAAAAACGACAGGCCATGAAGAATAGCAGAAGTTTCACTAATAACCTGGAGTACGTTGAACTTTGCAAGACCATAAAAAAATGTATCCAAGAAGAAATGCATCATTTTAAAAACAAAGGGATTAATAGAGCAAAATGCAAGCTTATAAATACAAGAAAGAAGGTTTTTGCATTAAAACATGAAGATGGCTCTTGTGTAGACCAAGACGGGAAATGTTAGAAATAATTGAAAAATTCTATTCAGAGCGATACAAAGATCAAGATCAATCAGAAGTAACAATTGGCAAAAGAAAGCTCAGGATCGTATTGGTTGGAAACATGCAGAAGAGTCCTTCATCCTGCAGTG